CTGCTGGTGCTGGAGCGGTGCGCGTGCACATGCATGTGCCGCGCCCCCCAGCCACCCCGTGCCCCGCCCTACAGCTCCCCGACCCGCCCCCCTCCCCTGCGCCACGGCCTGCCTGCCTGCCTGCCCCGCCGCAGAACAGGCACGGCGACAAGTCGCAGGAGAATGCTCGGGTGGTGAGGGCGATGCAGGGTGTGATGTATGCCGCCGTCACGCCGCTGACGGAAGAGGAGCAGGCGTGGGGCGTGGATGCCGAGGAGGAGCTGGCCAGGTTCCGGGCCAGAACGACGCGGCGGCGGTGGCCCCGCGACGGCGGCGGTGGCGCCGGCGGCAGCGGGGACGACACCGGCGGGGACGATAGCGGCGGCGGCGGCGGCAGCGCGGACAACAGCGGCGGGGATGACAGCGGCAGAGGGAACGGCGGTGCTGGCGCCGCGAAGGACTCGGGTGGGGCAGGCGGTGTCGGGCTGCTGCTGGACGCATGGATGAGTGGCGGGGGAGCCGGGGGCGGCAGGGATGAAGAGGAGTGTGAGGAGGGATGGGAGGAGGATGGGCGCGGCCACTCCAAGAGGGCTCGTCGCAGGCGCGCGGCACACAGATCGCAGCCCGCCTCGCCACACCGGCAACGGCGGCAGTGGCGGCCGCCTCCTGCCGCCCCTCAGGGCGGGCAGCGAGCGGCGGCCGCTGTGGCCGCAGCCATCGCTGCTTACGCCAGCAGCCGCCAGGGCGCAATGCCTGCGCAGCCACCGCCTCTGCCTGAGCGCTCGCGTCAGCTGCCATGGCAGCAGCAGCTGGAGCAGCAGCAGGAGCAGCAGCAGCAGGAGCAGGAGCGGCAGCAGGAGGGGCCCTCCCAGTCGCGCCAATGGCACAGTTCTCAGCAGCAGCAGTCGCAGCAGCCCACGCCGCAGCAGCAGCCTCAGCAGCAGGCGCAGCAGCGGCGGAAGCCTGGGTCTTGCTTCACTTGTGGCTCGGATGAGCACTGGTACATGGAGTGCCCGCTGAGGCATGCGTGCCTCAGGTGCAAGCAGCCCGGGCATGCCAGCAGCCAGTGCCCACAGAGGTACCCGGGCCACTGCTACAAGTGCGACCAGCCGGGGCACTGGTCCTTTGCCTGCCCTGCCCGCGGAAGTGTACTTCGGGCTGGAAAACTTTAGCAAACAGATGCCATGTTGTGTGGATGAATCGATGGGATCGGGCGAAGAATCATGCAACAAAACCGGTACATGTAAAAAATCAAACAGGTACATGCGTGCGCGGACCAGCTGCTGGTGCGGCGGCAGCAGCAGGGCCTCGGTGTCTGTTCGCTTCCCTCAGGCGGCGACCAGCTTCTTCAGCACCTCCACCTCCTGCCCCAGGGAGGGGTCCCCCACAGCCTCCACCTGCCCCTCAAAGTAGGGCAGGAACTCGCCCAGCGCCGCCGCCGCCTGCGCGTTGACCGCCAGCGGCTGGCTCTGCCGCTCCCAGCGCCCCAGCAGCGGGGGCCAGAGCGGGGGCGGCGGCGGCAGCAGGCACGCGTCGGGCAGCAGCCAGCGCTCCAGCGCGCAGCCGTCAGCGGTGGGCTGGGCGGAGTAGAGGTCCACGGGTACGGGGCAGTACCAGGCGGGGAAGGAGGTACAGTCGCACTGCGGAATCACGATGGGCTGGCCGGGGTCCACCGAAGCCCACTGGTCCAGCAGCCTGCAGGCAGCGGCACAGGCCCCGGCATGAGCGTAGCATGATTCCGGGCACTCCATACCACAGGCCGGCCCAGGGGCACCCGGCAAGCACGCACAGCATCCAAGAGCCGTATGTGCGCCCCACCCACCACCCCCTGCCCACCAGCCGTGAAGGATGTCTGTGTAGCGGGCGAGTGCCACCGCCTTCTGCACCCCGCTGGACTGGTAGTATTCGGCGGCGCCATCCTGCAGTACCTTGGCGGGCACCTCCACGGTACGCACCGAGCTGCGGGCAGGCAGGCAGGCGGGCAGGCGGGCAGGGGGAAGGGAGGGCTGCTTGAGCGTACGGAAGGTGGCGAGAGAGAGAGAGAGAGAGAGAGAGAGAGAGAGAGAGAGAGAGAGAGAGAGAGAGAGAGAGAGAGACTAGAGGCAACACAACACGACTCTTGTGGCAACTCGGTGATGTGGACACCAGGTCTGGCACTAGCACTGGCTACCCGCCTGCCCGCCCGTGCCCCAGCCCCCCACCTGAACTTGTTCCCCTCCCTGTCCTCGTAGCTGGCCTCCAGCACCAGCGGCGTGGCGGCGTCGGCGGGGCGCCGCATGCGCAGCAGCACCACGCCGCCCTTGATGCCCTCCTCGCTCTTGGGGGAGGGGAACAGGGTGTGCACCTGGCAAGGGGGGGGGGGGGGGGGGGGGGGGGTGGGGGGGGGGGGGGGGGGTGGGGGCAGACCTGGGGTCCACATCACCGGGTTGGCACAAGGGGGCGGGGGGCGAATTTGTTATCATGGGGATAGGTGTTTTCTAAAATCCAGCCA